ATTCAGTTAATAAGTCTGCATTTGTTGTGTTTATGATCTGACAAATTCTTAGTTTTACTTTATAGTCATTTAATAGAAAACTTTACTTTAATAATGCAAGAAATTTCTTAACTCTTATGTACATGCATTCCATCTTGTGTCTATTGATGTTCAACATTTCGGCATTTATTAATAGACTGGATATGCTGGGGTGTTCTGAAAGAGGTTTAACACATGTGGTTGCTAGAGTATTCATAGTGGCATATAGGTGGTTTATATTCCTAGTATGTGATTGGCCTGTCATGATTATTACATAAAAACATGATTACGATTATTTCGATAATCACAAACGTTGTGGGCTTTAAATGTAAAAGGACGAACATGCATTGTGAACATAGAGTGCTCAAGTATTATTTAACAATTAATATAAGCGAATTAATATAGCAAACTCTATTTCTTTTTTATGTTATCATGCAAAGTCAATGAAACGCCATGAAACATAAGAGATAAAACTACTTATGGGGATGAGAGAATGAAGAATATGAAAAGACTATGAAAAAACTATGTATGAAGAAATATGAAAAAATTTCATGAAAAGACGATTATGAAATGTATACAGAAATGTAAAGGTCTTCTTTCATGTGAAATGAAGGCTCATGGGTTAATCGGCCTTAAAATTATTTGTGAATGAAATTAGGACAGAAATTATTACTATTGCATAATAAAAATAAATATTACTATAATTTTCAGGTTGGCTGGTCCCCCACCCCCCCACCAAAAAGAAAAGAAAAAACAGACTATAGAATATATATAGAATATATTTGTTATTTGTGTTATATGTATATTGTATTATGGATTTTATTTTATATTTTATTTTATTGTATTTTATATTTTATTTTATTCTTAGGTGCAATATTTGTATTACAAAGCCTTATTTATTATTCAAGGGTTCCAATTTCTATGTAAATATGAAATGACTTACATTTCCTCTGAACAAAAGGATCTATTGCAATAATTTGTCCCGATGAGCCAGAATTTCACTATCGTGACAGCGCTGTTAGTGATCATACGCTTTAGCACAGCACTAATAAAGACCTGACCAGAGAAAGATTAATAGCATTCGTGGCACCATGTGGAATTATCATCACCTAATACGCATTTAACTACATCTAATCTCCGACTAACATTTCACTGTTAATTGAGATCATGCATAAAGAGGCTCTGTGTACAGAAAGCCATTTGAAATTACATTTTATAAACCGCAAACTCTCACTGACATAATTAGTTGTAAGCTTTCGATAATTTCCAGAAGACTATGGAAAATAAAGGTCACCCTGCGCAGTGTCTAGTATATTATTTCTCAATCGGTGAGATTAGATGCACACAATTATGTGTTTGTTTAAGAGAAAAGTCTGTGATGGCTATGACAAAAATGGAAATCTCTAATATATGAATAAGACACACTTACAAACAAACACACAACAGAAGCTGTGTTTGAGTAGCAGGTGTAGCTCTGACCCTGTTCTTTTCATTTCTGCTTGAAGCTAAACCCCATTTCCCAGTTATGTTCCTGTTTCTTAATTAAATTCCGAAGAGAGTTTGTGTGTGTTTGTGCCATCTGAGTAGTGCACAGCTGAGCTAATCTTCATTGTGCATTACACAGAGAAGGCAGAGATACAGTATTGAGCTTCTGTTATTCAGAGGAGTCTGTGTGATTGAACGCGGACTGGCAAAAGTATTCAGGCCCTTTAAGGATTAGTTCACCCAAAAATGTAAATTCTGGCTTTATTTACTCACCCTCATGTCGAGCCAAACCCATGTGACCGTCTTCTGTGTGATTCAGATGGAGACATTTTAAACAACGGGACTGGTCGCTCATTTCCATGCCATTACAGTGAATGGGGACTGAAGCTTTCAAGCTTCAAAGGACACGAGTAGCACTGTAGAAGTATGATAGTAGTAGTCAAAACAACTTGTGTACTCTATTCCGAGTCTTCTGAAGCCATATGATAGTGTTGTGTATAATAGTAATCTTCCCCTCCTGTGAACTGTTGAGTCAGACTGTTTTTGTGAACTGGATCAACATTTAATTGAAAAGATGCTGATTGTTTTTCCAGGAGATTTAGGGCAGATGTCGATATTTTAATTTTCTTTTGTTTTCCACGGAAGAAAGAACATTATATGGTTATGGAACAACATGAGGGTGAGTAAACAACAGACTTTTTCTTTTTGAGAGAATGAATGCTTTAACCAAACCGTCTTTTTACTTCATTACAAATCATTGTTTAGGTTCCTGTGACATTTGTACTTTTAAGCACCGAAATAGTAATTTAATGAGTTCATGGTTACATTGTATCGAAAAATAAATAAATTGGAATATGATGTGTGTATTTAATGGCTATAGGTTACAGAAGCTCACAACTGACAACCATACAATGTTTGTGAGTTTAGAGTAAATTTATTATAATTGAATGGTGATTTAGTGAATTATAAAAAATAAAAAAAAAGATGACAGTGTTATTTTAGTGTTATTTATATACTGTTATA